TTTTTTTTTTTTTTTTTGCGGTATGTAAGGTCTAGAAAAGTACGGGAAGAAGACACAAAATGTGTGGTAGCCATTTCGGCAAGCAGTGATTCAGTAGTATGTCTATCATAAGTTTCGTGGTCTTGACGTATTGTGGTGACAAAGAAAGGCTAGACAGCGCCGAAACACGAGAAATTTTTTTCTAAGTTTTATGATTTCACTTAATGCTAGTTTGGGGCGGTACTTTTTTATGGAAAAGCTTGTCAGCTTCTATTCCTAAAAAGCAAGAAAAGTATTCACATTATTGAGATTATTAGCTGTTGTAAAGTACGCTTCTCTTAGCAGGTGGTGTATATAAAGTCCAAAATTCACTTAAGGAATGATTCAGCTGTAGGTATATCTGAGTTCTTAGTTTACAATTAAACAGTCGTTCAGATGCAGTATTAGCAACTATATATTTCTTTCTTTTTAATACCAGCTGCTTTCTACAATTTAATTTTTGCTTATTCATGACTTGAAGGTGATGAATGTTTTTGTGTATTGAATACGGGTAAGTTTCTCCATAAAACGTACCGCAATATGCTCTCTTGGACACCCAGTGACAAATTCTTTATCTTCCTCAAACAGAAAAATTTCATCTTTAATACTGAAATACCTGGGAGGTTAGCAGCTCTGTTTTTATGCATGCTTTCCTGATTTGACCAAATTTTATCAGGTCATTGAATGTTTGACGAGTGCTTATTTTAAGTCTTTATTGCCTCGTTATTTCTTCCAACAAGGCCGTCTTACTGCTTTTTTAGAGTCTTTGTTTACTTTAAGGATGGGAAAGCTGCCACTTTCAGATCGTTATTTTAGCTTGCTTTTTTTCGTTTCTCAGAGAACAGATTTGCTGAATCACAGTGTTCAGATAAAAAACACGGAGAAGCTGTTTTTATATTTATCTATCTGTTGTTGCTCACTTGGAGAAATTTGATGCTTGACTATAATTTTTTCAGGACATCGTGATGGTCGTTCAAGGATTGAGTTATGTTTTGATCACTCAGATCATATGCCATTAAGTCGTTCAAAAGATCGGGTTCATAGTTTCAGTGCTGAATCTTTAGTGCATGTCGGATTGGGTAGTTCTAGTTCTTTCTTGGATCAGGCGAACGATTCTGAGGCAGCAAATACAGATGTAGCTCGAATGTCTACAACTAGTCGTTTTGTGCGGAAAGTCACATCCTCTTTTCGTTTCCGTAAGAATTTGTCTCCTAGTTTGACCAAGAAAACCTGTGATTACGTTGATGAAAATGCACTTCTGGGGCCAAGTTTGACACCGGATGAACCATATTCTGCTCCTCACAGTCCGCAAAATGATACCTCGTTGCATACATCGCCCCGACCTCATTCGAGCAAAGAAACCACTGGTTAGTTTTGTCGTTTAATTTTTGACTTTTTGGAATTTCTTTACTGCTGCTCAACGATTCTTTGGCTTCTGTCGTTGTTAAATTTTTTGTATCTCGTAGTATCAGGCACGAAAGCTTTCTCACTTTAGTTTCTGGTGAGAAAGGTTTTAATCGTTTCGCTTGGTTTCCTTCTCGGTCCCCACGTCGTGTTGTGGCAAAAGCTGTTCCTGAACACGTAAACCGAATTGGTGTTGTAATGCCATGTGATACTTTGGAGTCTTTATCTGGTAGAGAATACAATCGGGTGCCAGTATTTGTGAAAGAGTGTATTGAATATATTGAAAAGGTCAGTTTTATTTTTTTTTTTAATATCCGCGGGTGATCAGCAGGTAGATAAGTGGCGGTTATAAGAGGATATGTGAATTTATTGTTTTTTACAGGAAGGCGGTCTTGAGGCTGAAGGTATTTATCGTGTTCCTGGCAGCCAGGCACAAGTTGCTGAACTGGAAAGTTCATTTGTAGTAGATGGTGCAATTGCTTTTCGTATTGCAAAGCTACCTGTAAACGCCGTGGCTACAGCACTGAAAAATTTTCTTGCTAGTTTGCCTGAACCTCTCATTTCATATGAAATGTATAATGATCTAGTAAGTAGTTCATTATTAGTTTGTCAAAGTCAAGGTTTATATCTCAAGTCTTTCCATTTTTTCTGATTATAGCTTCCATGCCTCAAGTATGAGCAGTCAGAAGCATTAGCACTTATTGCCAGTAAATTAGAAAAGTGGCCGGAGGCCAACCAGAAAACTTTTTTGTGTCTTGGTGCTCACCTTGCTCGTGTGGCTCAGCATGCTGACGTTAACAATATGGATATTCGTAACCTTGCCAAGGTAGGCTATTTTTTCGTGTAAAGAAGCTATCAGTTGTAATTTTCCTATAAACGAAGCCGTTTTCTAGGTTTGGTGGCCAACTCTGTTTCGTCCCCATTTTGACTCATTTGCATCTATGGCCAGCTTTGTAACTCGCCTAGAATTAGCAGCCCAACTCCTGATCACATATGCCGCTGAACACTATGAAAATATATGAGTTGTTGGTTTTGCCGTGGAATCTCGGGACTATGCGTTGTACGTGTTATGGAACCTCATATTAGCAATTATTGTTGTTTGTTTTGCTGCCTACAGTTTTTTTGTATGTAATTTCGTTGGTATTATTTTGTCTTGAATTTCTAGAACCTTGGGACATGCAAATGTTGGTTGTTTGTAATTACATCTAAGTTTTAGACTGCAGCACTTTTGTATGATTGTAGAATTTTGAAAATGCAAGCTTAACACATCGGCTTTGAATGTGCTATGTTGTTAAGATTATCATTGAGTTTATTTCTTTTAAAAAAACTTGGAGATATAGTTGTAGATGGTTTTCTGTTAATTTGAATTGAGCGCTACACGGTGTATAGCGTGCTTTTTTTGAAAGTTTCTTAGACTTATTGATTCTCTTTCAAAGTTTTAGGTATTTACTTTTTGAAATGAAGGGTGGTATTTGTTTCTTAAGTAGATTTTTGGTCTTTAAACGGCTTTGGGAATTAAAAAACTTATACTTAGCATTTTTCTTCATAATATCTTTATCTGTAGATGTAGACTGCGTCAACTGTATTTTGAGGGATGTATATTGGATGTACGGCTATAGTTATAAATTTTACTGGTGTACCTTGCGGGCCACTTTCTTTTTTTGCTTTTTTTTTTTTTTTTCTAATCTTTTCAGGGGTGACTTTTGTGTTTAATAGTCGTTTGGTCAGTAGGGGTCGGCAAAAACAAGCATTTGCGTTCAATGTTTTATAGTTATCGAACGCATTGCCTCCTTCACTTTATCGGCTTCAGTTGTCATTTTTTTTTCCAAGTCTACTGCTCTGATTACTGTACAGGGGGAGCTTTGAGTTGTGGTTTCGTTTGTGTTGGTTGAAAATAGTCATTTTTTGAATTGCTGATTATCCATAACAATGATCTCGAATCACTTGGTTCATGCAAGTCTCTCGTCCTATTGTAACAACTATGTCTTGACCAAGTTGTGTAAGTAACTGTTTATCTAAGTAGTCACTTCTGTATCTTCGTTTCAGAGTTTCTAGTTTTGAATGTGATAGATCGGTGACGATACTGAGGGAATCACAATATATATTATTTTGGAAAAAGAAAAAATAGTTTGAGTTAATTTGTTTTCACCACTACACAGTTGCGGTTATATCTGCCATTCTATTACTTAAAGGTGTGCTATTGGGTCTTCAACACCGTCTATCTTTTTAATATCTAATTTACTCTCATTGTACCGTGCGATTTGTTCATCTTCCTTTCCCCCATCCCTATTACCTCCTTCCCCTTTTCCCTAAAAAGTATTTTACTGGGCAGTTGTAGTTTTGTTGTTGCAGGGTTTGGCGAAGGCGACGTTGTTTGGTGATACTCAACGGCTGGAACAGATTTCTTCTGATAGTTTGTGGTTATGGGGAATAAATAGGATGAGTTTTTTTAATATTGGTCTGGAGAGAGGAGGTAGAGTGTACTGCTACTTGGTTCGGGGCGTTTTGA